GTACCTGGCTGAGTTTGACTCCAAAGGCGTGGGCAGGATAAGAAGAGGAGCTGGTAATACTCGGAAAGGCGCTGAGAACGCTTGGTCAAGGTTGGGTCTGGCAGTCCGGCCCTTTTCTCCGTTCTGGGATCCCCTCCAAGGTCAGGGAGCCCGCAGAGGGCCCGAGTTTGGCTCTATGAGGACCCCTCCAAGTGTGGGGCTGGCAGCTCCTCACTCGCCTGCCCAGGATACCGGGTGCGGGGGCCCCATCCTCCCTGCGACCTCTCTTCTTCAATCCCGCCCCGAGCTTTCCTGCCTTCCTTCGTCCCCTGCGCCAGCCAGGAAGCCTCCCTGGACTGCCTTGGATCCTCAGGACCAGGCTGCACAGCCCAGAGCTGACCAGCCTAGCTAGCGAGCAGCCACGCCCGACCTGTCGGATGGGTCCTGACGAGCCGAGACTTTGGCCGCTGGCCGCCAGGGGGCGGCACAGGCAGCCTTCTAAAGTCTGTCTCATTCTGTCCAAGTCCCACTGTGACTCGCAGGGCAGGTTAGCAGCCTTGTGTGGTTTCGAAAGCAGTTTTCTTCTTTCAGATTTCCCCCCAGGGATACTCTTTTTTTATTTTTAAAAAAGGTTTTTGAATTTATTTTTATTTTCAGAGAGAGGGGGAGGAAGGGAGGAAGAGATGGAGAGAAATAGCAATGTGTGGTTGCCTCTTGCTCACCTCCCACCTGGACCTGCCTGCAACCCAGGCATGTGCCCTGAGTGGGAATGGAACCAGCCACCCTTTGGTTCGCAGACTGGTGTGCAATCCACTGAGCCACACCAGCCAGGATGGGATACTCTTTTTTTTAAGTAATTGAATTGATTGATTTTTTAAAAAAGATTTTATTTATTTATTCATTTATTTATTTATAGAGAGAGGGGAAGGGAGAGAGAATGAGGGAAAGAAACCTCAGTCGCCTGCCTCTTGCAAGGCCCCTACCAGGGACCTGGCCCCCAACCCAGGCATGTGTCCTGATGGGGAATGGAATCCAACCCCCTGAGCCACACCCGTCAGGGGTGAATTGATTTTTCGGAAAGAGAGAGGAAGAGAGAAAGACAGAGGGGAACATCAATTTATTGTTCCTTGTATTTATGTATTTATTGATTGATTCTTGTGTGTGTCAGGACGGGGGATCAAACCTGCAACCTTGGCATATGGGACACACTCTCACCAACCGAGCTACCCGGCCAGGGCTCCCAGAGCTACTCTTTATTTCTAAATAACTTCCAGTCAATTATTACTGTTCTAAGTTGTTTGAAAGTTAGTTGCTGGGTGACTTTAAATTGAGGTCAAGGCAGACACCTGAGGATTCCTCTGGGTCCCTCTACATGCTCCTTGATGTCACTGGCTGCGTCTTGGACCCGGATGTCCCTAGCTACCAGCACTTGGCCAGCCTGCGTACTCCCTGATGCCAGCTGTCCAATCACCATCTACTGCCTCCCAGCTCAGTTCCTACACGGCCCTGGCCCAGAAGTCCGTTACCTGCCTCCAACCCACCATCCTACAAGCTTCTTCCAGCCTCTTACCCTCCATAGCTGCTTCTTCCCCGTCTTCTCCAAGGCCTCTGTGGGCCTCGCTCCTCTCACGTCACACACGTTTTCTCCACGTGGCCTTTCCAGCCCCTGCCTCCCTCTCCTCAACCTCTGCAGCTGGGCTTGCCCTCCCTGGTCAAGGTCCTCAGCAGCCCACATGCTGGTCTGTCCTCCGCCCTCACTGCCTGGAGCACCTGACGCTGGCCTGGCTCCCGGTGCCCTCGTTCTCCCGGGTTTCCTCCCATCTCCTGGCTGCTCCTGCTCAGCTCCCTGCTGGTTCCGCCTCATCTCTCCCACCATCTAACAGGAATGTTCCAGGGCTCAGTCCTGACTGCTGCCCTCCTCTGTGTAAACTCACCTCCCCCACCTCATCCAGGCCCTTGGCTTTAAGCACCACCCACCCCCTCTGCCTCCTGAATACGAAACTCCAGCGCTGGCTACTCTACTGAACTCGGGTCACACACGCAGCGGTCAACTCAGCATCTCTGCTTTGATGTCCAGTCAGTGTCTTAGATGTTTCATTGGCAAAACTGACCTCCCTTCCAAGCCTGCTCCTCGCCCTGCCTCCCTCAGGGGATGCAGTGGCAGCTCAGTCCCTAGATGGCCTAGGAGTCACCCTTGATTTGTCTCCGTCCTCCACCTCTTACCCAAGCCATCAGGGAGCCGGGCCGCCTCTACCTGCAGGCCAGCCCCGTGTCCCCTGGACCGCGCCGCCACCCGGGCTGAGCCGCTCGGCGTGTCTGTCTGAACGGCTGCGGCAGCCCCGTGTCAGGCTCACCCTCTGCTCCCCAGCCCCCACCCCGGGTCTGGTCTCAGTGCAGCAGCCAAAAGAATCCATTTGACAGTGAGTCAGTTCCTGCCCCTCCTGTGTTCAGGGCCCTGCAGGGGCTCTTATCTTCCCCAGAGAAAAATCCAAAGTCCTTACCGTTGCTGACAAGGCCCCACAACACCTGCCCCTCTATTGGCCCTCACTTGCCCCTCCTGTCCTCTCCCGCCTCTCCTACCCTCGGCTACAATGACTTCCTGCTGCTGCTCTCTCTGGTCAGGCACATTCTGCCTCAGGGCTTTGCATTGGCTGATGCCGCTGGTTGGGGTGGTTCCCTGCAGGCATCCACACGGCTTCCTCCCTCCGCCAATGTCTGATGCCAATGTCTGATCACAAGTCCCTTTCTCCGGGAGGCCCATCCCAGCTCACCTGCAGGCCCCTGTTCTCCATTGCCCTCCGCGTGTCGTTTTTACTCCCCATGGCAATTACTAAGCATCTTCCAACAACTGATATACCTTACTCATTCTGTTTCACATTTCTGGCCTGAATCCAATCCCCCACCAAGAATGTAAGTTCAAGGAAGGCAGGGTCTTTGCCTTGCGCGTTACTGTGTGCACAGGCGCCAGAGGAGTACCTGGCGTGGAGGGAATCTCACTGCCCATTGCTGGGTGAATGAGTAGCCCCCCTTCAGTTGGTAGGTGAGGTGTCCCTGTGCACACAGGTGAGTGGGGAGTGGGCCGAGAGACCAGGGCCCGGGCCTTCCTGGTCTACATTCACTTACTTTTCTGTTTCAAGCAGTCATAAGAAAAACCGTAAAAAGAAATACAGAAGGCCTTTATGCTGAACTTTCTGGCTGTTCTATCTTGTCAATATTTCAACCAGAGCAAGTGTGTGTTTGTTTTTCTCAGAGAAATTGTTTTATAATTTTTAGATTTTATTTATTTATTTTAGAGAGGGGGGAAGGAGGGAGAAAGGGAGAGAGAGAAACATTGATCGGTTGCCTCTCGTGCGCCCCCAACCAGGAACTTGGCCCACAACCCAGGTATGTGCCCTGACTGGGAATCAGACTGACTTTGACCTTTGGCTTTGCAGGACAGCACTCAACCCACTGAGCCACAGCGGCCAAGGCAGACAACTTTTTTTAATGCAAAAAAGAAGAAAATATGCTTGGGAAATTCTTCAAAACATACAAAAATGCTTACAAAAAAGCTTAACGATGACCAATGGCCCGCAGGCCCATCCTCACGGAGTCCCAGTGTCTGGGACTTCACAGGTAGGAATGAAGGTTACTCATGTTCAAACAGTCATCTGGACACTTGGTTTTTGGATCTAGTGCAGTGGCCACGTCACGCGGCGCCTGCTGCCCGCCGCTCAGGCCGGCAAAGACCTTGCTGGGCAAGCAGACGCGGCCGGCCTCCCGGGTCCAGGGTCCTGCCTCCACCTTGGCTGTGTGTGGCGGACAGGGCAGCTAGTGCCAGCCCGCCGCCCTGCTCTTAGAGGCCCGCTGCCTGCCACTCTGACCTGCAGCCTTCTTTGGGTGGAGGGAGTGTGAGAAAAGGCTCCAGGGTCTGTCTGCTGGAGAGACCCTGCCCTGTGTCGTGCCCACACCCCAGGAGCCCAGAGGCTGGGGAGGAGCTACAGCCTCCTCTTGCAGGGAAGGAACCAGGAGCCCCCGAGGGCAACCCCGCGCACCAGGGCACTCTGGGCTGCCGCCACCTCCAGGCCAGTGTCCAGCTCTTCTCCGGGGTCACGGGGCTCCTGGGTGAGTCCCCAGGCTGGAGTCAGGCGACTGGGACTGATGGGAATCAGACTCAGGAAGCCTCCCTGTGATGGGCTGGCACTGCTGTGGGCCCAGCAGCCACCAGCTTGAGGAAGTTCTTTCTTCAGGGGTTTCCCATGCTGGCAGCCACCTTGCCAGTTCAAACTGGATTTTTCCTGCTGCCCTTTCCTCGGCGGCCCAGCCGGGCACAGGGTCTCTCCTAATGAGGATTTGGTGCCAAGACCTGGGCAGCTCCATCCCGCTGGGTCTCAGCTGGTTCAGGTCTGCCCCAGGCAATGGGCAACTTCCCAGCCTCCCCGGGGGCCAGGGCACTGGGCCTGCCCTGCGTCCTTGCAGCCCTGCCCCGCCCTGGCCTCCCCCGCTCAAAACTCAGGCCCCACATACAGGGACGCACTAACTCACCTTTAGTCACAGCGGGTTTCTCTGTGGCTAAAAAGATCAGCCTGACACAGGGCACAGGGTCCCTGGACTTTTGTTTGCAGACTCAAGGCACTGACAGAGGGTTGACATGGCAGCCGGGGGCGGGGGGCAGGGGCCCTGCTGCGGGCTTCCCAGCCGCCCCCTGCTCAGACCCTCTCTGAAGCTGCTGGGGATGCACCTCACGTCCCTCCTTCCGGAGGCCTCTCTCTGTCCCATTTCCTGGGGCCTCATTAATTCCTCCCCACCTCACCCCGTGAGAAAGCAGGTCTGTGCTGAGCCTGGCCCAGGCCCAGAGCAGGGTCTGAGCACGCCCCTGGCTGGTTTGGGAGGCAAGGGGCGAGTGGGGTAGGGGACTCGCCCTGTCCTCACCCTCATCCCAGGGAAAGAGGCAGGAGAGGCCTCGATCACCGTCCACGTCCCGGCTCTCACCCGCTCTCCCAGAACCCCGGGACCATGGAGATCAAGAATATAAAACACAGTCAGTCTAAAGTATATTTATAAAAGGGGGCTGTCGGCTAGCCTCTTCGCCCTGTCCCAGGCTGGCCCCTGGGCCCCCGGCTGCCAGGGGCAGAGATGCTCTGGGCCCGGGCCTCTGTCTTCTCCTGGCAGGGGACTGTGAGCCAGGGTCCAGGTTTGGGGCACGGGGAGTCCCAGCCTCCCCGGGACTGGTGAAGGGATGTGGCAGGGGCCCCCTTGAGGGTACCCCACCAGCTTCACCCTCAAAAGAACTTGCTAGCTCCAGGCGGAGGGATAGGGGGTCTTCTCCCAGTGGTGGGGATGGGAGAACCGGGAAACAGCATCCAAGCACCTGAGCCCACGGGCCTGCAAGGGGCCTAGGGAACAGCAGGAGGGAAGGTGAGGGGGTCGAGGGGGGCGGGACCTCAGGGCCCACCGTGGCCCAACAGCGGGGTGGAGGGTGGCTGCCAGCCTGGGGTTCCAGCTCTACATGTCCCCCGCCGCGGGGAGAGCTCAGTGTATGCCTCTGTGTGAGGAGGGAAAGGGGCTTGGGTGAGATCTGAGGCAACGGTGCGGGGGGTGCGCCCCACCCTGCTCCCAGCTCAGGAAGGCCCTGCAGACCAGGGGCCCAGCAGGGAAGTGGCCCAAGGGCCTTGGTCCTGGCTCTGTTAAAAAACAAAACAAAACAAAAGAACAAAAAACCTTCCACAGAGAGGCCCTGGGGCAGGGCCACATGCCCTAGTGTTAGCCATGTCTCTCTCCTCCCCTGACCGGCCGCTGGGTGCCACCCAGGGCTGAAGAGTCTGGGCAGGGGCGCCAGGATGAGTGGACAGAACAGGACGGGCTGTCCTAGTGGTTTCCTCCGTGCCGCTTGGTCCCCGAGACCCAGTCAATGATGATGAAGCTCAAGCTCATGGTCATCATCAAGAAGCCAAGTGCAGCGAAGCAAAGGGCCTGTGGGGGCAGAAGTCATGGTCAGGACTGAGGCTGGGGCAGCTCCCACGCTTCGCACCGGCCCGCCGACCTCCAGGCCCCTCGCACCAGGATTTTGGGTGTGGATCTTGCAGGCTCCTTCTCGGTGGGCATGATGCGGAAGTAGAAGATGGCAGGGAAGATGAAGATGAGGCATGGGGCGGATGTGGCGCCTGTGGGGAAAACAGGGCGTGGCCACCAAGGGCTCATGGGCACCTATTAGCTAAGGGTTGGGGGGGACCCAACAAGATCAGACAGTCGTTGGGCGGGGAGAGTCTCCTCTTGAGACTTCACTCGAAAGCTCGTTCTCTGCCCACCGGCGTGAGAGGCGAGGGTGGTTGCTGTCAGAAAAACCTGTCAGCGAACGAAGTTCGCAAAGAGGAAAGGCGAGGTGGAGATAGAGATGGAGACTTGAGGCTATTGGGCTCCAGGATATAGCTATTCCTGAAGGCTTTTCTATTGCTTGAGCCAATACATTCCTTTCTGCCTGATGCATTTTGAGCTGGCTTATGGACATATGCAACCAAGAGTCCTGGCTATGGTTTTCATGATACTTAGCCCAAGTCTCTGTGTCGGTCCCTGCAGAGTTGGGCGAGGGAGTCAGTCTCCCGAGTCGGGTGACCCCAAAGGTGTCTGAGACAATGGACAGAGCTGGTTTGGGACAATGGACAGAGCAGCTCTCCCATAGTCCCGTGATCCTGGGGCTGAATCAAGGCTCCCCGCTCACCATCTGTGAGGTGCTGCTACCCCCCTTAATCGCTCTGAACTTCAGTTTTCTCACATGCAAAATGGACACAAGACCCTCCTTTGTGGAGGCCCTTGCCGCCCCGGCTCCACCCCGTGTCCCAGCGGGGGGACCTGACACACTGGTTCTGAGCCCGCGAAGGTGATTAGAAGAGCCTTCAGGACAAAATCTCAGGTGGGAGGCCATGCTGTGCCGCACGAGGTCAGAGGCCAACTCTTAAACGTAGGGCATGAGCTCAGGAATCTGCTAGGATTTGCAGATGAGTTCTCTGGGGAGATACCCAGCAGGGCCAGATTCTCACCGATGACCCCGAAGATGCCCAGGATGTTGGGGGCAAAGATGACCAGCAGGTTGATACAGGAGAGCAGGCCAGTGGCAATGAGCGTGTGCCGCAGCCAGCTGAACTCCCGGTTTGGAAACAACATCTGCTGGATGGCGCGCCGCACCTGGGGGGCAGGGAGTCATCAGCCGGTCACGCCACCCCCATCGGTCCCACCTGTATTGGTCCAGCCACCTCGCTGCCTTCCCGTGGGCTCACCGGAAACAGAACGATGGGCACCGTGAGCGTGACCGCCATCAGCACGGCCACGCGCACACACAGGATCAGCACGTCAAACGAGTCCACCTTGCTGTAGGTGTGCAGCAGCTCCGACTCCACGCCATCTGTGGCGAGCAGGGAGGCGGTCAGCAGGCGGCCCAGGGGGGGGTTTGGGCCCGGGGCCCTGGTCCACCCTGACACTGCGGGGAGTGGCGAGCGCCGTGCCCCCCAGCCTGGCTCCTGCCTCCGCCCCGGGGGCAGCCGTACCGTAGAAGGTGAGGTAGCCGAAGAGGGCGGCCAGGAAGTACATGATGTACATGACGGCGATGGACAGGTTGGAGATGTGTTGCATCTTCCTCTTGGAGGGACTATGGGGGGCAGGGGAGGGGCTTGGTGCCGAGCTGGGCTGCACTGGGAGACCCCCATGGGTCCTGGAGTCTGTCTGGCGTCACACCCTCACCATGTGACAGCAAGGAAGCCTCCTCCTTGCCACCAGTCGCCACCCAGAGCAGCCAAAGGGATCTTGGATAAGATGACTTGGCCCCTGTCACTCCCCGCTTGCAGGGCCATGTCCACCCACCCCTCCCCCATGACCTCAGGCAGCACCGCCCCTCTCCCTGCTGGGAACCTACTCCTTGAGCTCTGTGTAGATGGGCAGCACCTCGGGGTGGCAGACGAAGGCGAAGGCCATGATGGGGATGGTGTACGCCGTCTGGGGGGACACGGGGACTGTGTCAGGGCAGTCCCCACACTGTCCCTGGGCCCTGCCCCAACCCTGGGCCTGTCAGACCTGTATGTTGAGAGTGAAGTAGCTCGGGGTGCACACGGCTGGGGTGCCGGTCTTCCCCAGGAGCGCCGTCTCCTCCCTGCTGAACTGCATGAGGCTGGAGTTGCTTGTGATGTTGGCAAAGTGGGAGGGGAGTGGGCAGGGCACCTGGAACTTTTTGTAGATGACCTGGTGGGGGGTGGGCATGAGAGTGTCAGGGCAAGGCTGCGGGGAAGTCACTCTGAAGCCACCTGGAGATCAGGGCTGGAAGAGCTGCCTTCCAACAGAGGAGCCCCGCCCCGTCCCTTGCTGGACCAGCACCAGGGATGACTCACCGCGATCAGGAAGAACACCATGCAGCTGAGAGAGAAGCCGCTGGAGTAGCCCAGGTAGCCTGCACAGTCGGGGGAGGGGCGGCGGTGAGGCGGGTCCCCTCGGATACGTCCTTCCAACACGCCCTTCCCAGGCCCTGGCGCTGCCACACTCACCGAGCTGCCGCATCAGCGCCAGGGGAAGAATGACAGTGACAGTGACCAGGATCACAAGGTAGTTCCCGTTCACGTACCAGTCCCTGCCGGGCGGGAGCGGGGAGCCAAGGTCAGAGCCCACGCTGCCCCGGGTCGGGCCACAGGCCCCCATCCCCCGTCAGGGTCACCGGTGATGCCACCGGGTGGCCTCCAGGGAACACCGGTCCGCAGCTCAGAGTCTCCGTGCCCATCTGCAAAGTGGGCAGGCTCTCGGCGCCCTCCCGGGTGAGGCCCGGGCTTGGTGGCCCTCTGACTGGAGCCTCTGCTGTGTTTTTCTCGGGGCGCACAGGTCCAGCCTCCTCAGGGAGGGACCCCAAGGGGCCAGGCAGGTGGGTGGGATGAAAGGGCCTGGCCCTGGGGGTGGGGCACTTTCCATGGGGGGCTCAGGGACTTGCCAAGGACCTGTGCCCCTGCGGTCCCTCCTGGCGTCTGCATCTTGCATCTCCCGCTGCTCCACCCTCCAGAGGACAGGGGTTGCAGGGAACGAGGAAAGGAGTAAAGGAACCAGCTACCCTTCAGGGCAGGCCCGAAGGCCAGCTCCTTGGGAAAGACCCTGAGGGAGGCGGTTCCTGGCTGTTTCTCCCCTCCCAGCCGGCTCTCAGCCTCCAGCCCCTCTGCTTGCCTGGGCTGTGTTGCCAAGGGTGGGGCCCGTCTCCTCTGTCCCCACTCACAAACGTGGCCGGTGCCATCAGCACTGCCTAAACTAATGATGGGCAACTGGGACACCATGGGCTTAATTTCTTGGTGGAGGGGAGGGGCTGATGCCCAGGCCACAGTCAGGACTAGCAGGCGCTCAGACCTAAGCCCCTGGCAGGCGCTCAGGCCCTCCCTGCTCACAGGCCAGGCGGGGCTGCCCCTCACCCCGGCCCACGTGGCCCTCCTGGGGGTGCTCCATAAATGGGGGCGGACTGGAGGTTGGTCCCACTGGCAGCTCTCTGCCCCTCTAGTAGCCACTTGTAGGGCCTGCCTCATCTCTCCCACCAGCCCCACCGGGCTCCCAGGGCCAGGGGTGGACGTGGAGGGTGGACGGGGGCTCCTACCCTCACCCGGCCCCGCCCCACCCCAGGCTCACGAAGTTTGCTCCTCCAGGTTCAGGAAGGTCTGTATGACAAGGGGCAGCTCAGACTTGATGATGTACAGGTAGCTGGACATGGCTGGAGGGAGAGAGAGGCGGTGGGCGCCGGGGTCAGTGGAACCAGCGGCTGTCCCTCAGACGGCACCCCTCACCCCCGTCTGCCTGCGTGGGCCACCAGCCGCACCTCCGATGTTCTGCAAGGTGATGGCCAGGGCGGCCGCCAGCTTTCCCGGAGTCCCAAAGGCACGGTAGCCCAGCTGCTCGTAGGCACGGATTCCTGCGGGCACAGGGCGTCAGGACGGCCGGGGGGGCCTCCCAGCCTGCCCCTCCCTTGCCGCCGGCCGTCCGAGGCTCACCCACGATCCCGGAGGACTTGAGCAGCAGATGGATGGAGTAGCTGGAGAGCAAGGCTACGGCTGTCAACAGGAACCTGGGGAAGACGGACAAGGGAAGGCTGCTGGGCTCCCCCGTCGGGCTGGCAGGAGGTGATGAGCTCGGGGAGGCCCGGGGGCGCGGGGTGGGTAGCCAGGTGTCTGGCAGGTGTGGGTATGCGCTTGGCAGGCCCAGGGCTGGTGCACGCCAGCCAGTTTGACCCGGAAGAGGCCCTGCAAGCCCATTTCTCCTTGAGTTCTTGGAATAAACATGTTTTCCACTTGGCTGTGAGGCAGAGCTCCCAGGTGAGGACACGTTGCCCATACAGGCCTGGCCACGGGGCTGCATCCATCACGTGTACACATAAAAGGACAGGCGGGTCTGTTAGCCTGGCCCCGTGCTGCCACCTCAGTGGCTTACTGGGAAGTGAGGTATATTTGTATTGCTGTGGCTGGTTTGTTCAGCCGTGGGTTGGGCTGAGTGAAGGTGCCTACCCACTGCCACCAAGGCCTTAGGACAGGAAGCTGGTGGGTCTTGGGAGGTCATGGGCAGTGGCTGTCTGTAGATGGGGTGCAGGTGGCACTCACAGGAAAAGGATGATGCCGGTGTTGGCCATGGCGTAGGCCAGCCCCAGGATGCCGCTGCCCATGATGGCGTTGCTGAGGTTGAACACCGACATCCCGAAAGACGTCTTCCCCTCGAACTGCAGGCGCCAGGTGGATAGGGGGGCAGTCAGCAGGCAGGGCGGTCATCTCCGCCTTCCCTCCCCATCCCCCAGCCTCCCAGTGCTGCCCGAGAACGCCTCATTCCTTCGTCCCTGCCCCCAGCGGCACCCGAGCCCCCTCCGCTGCCCCGCTCACGTCGGTGAAGTGTGGTTCCTTGCTGGGGCTTTTCTGTAGGAAGCCCTCGCCCTCCGCACAGCTCCGTCGGGGGCCCTCGACCCTGCAGGCACAGGCCAGGGCAGGCAGCTCAGCTCTGGCCCCTTGCCCTGCGCCCTGCCCTGCCCTGCGCCCTGGCTGGGCCCCCGCCCTGCTCACCTCTCATCTCCTGCTGTGGGGGTGCTGACCGGGCGTAGTCCTTCTGAGTGTTTGCCATTGGGCACCAGATCCACCAACTCCGTCTGCAGAGGCGTCTCCATGCTCAGGGGACACCACGGGAGCCTGGCTCTCACCCGACACGCTCAGGAGTCTGCGGAGCAGGCGGCCCGTCAGGTCATCCCTGCTCCTTGCACCCGGGCCCAGCCTCCCTAAGGCCGTCTCGGCCGCAGGCACGTTGTGCAGAGGGTCACTCAGGACACACGTGCACAGGCCGCTGTGCCTGGGCCTCCCTGGGACGCCCTGAGGGGCACCTCCGCCAGCAGGTAGTGCTCCCCCCACACACACCCCGACACACACGCACCAGCCCAGGCAAGGCCTCCAGGCCTCAGTTTCCCCATCTGCGCAGCAAGGGTCAGCTGTGTGACCTCAGTTCAGAGCCCAGCGGCCGCAGGACCCTGGGATGCTGAGTCCCAGGCCCGTAGACCCCACCCTCGGGCGAGCCCTGGACTGACTCCCCCTCCCTGGGGCTAATGCTAGGGGATGGTTTCCTGTGCTGGCCCCACGTGCCAGGGGCCTCCTAGCCAACCTAGAATGGCACGGCCCGACGGCGGGAGGCCTCGGGAGCGGGTGAGCGCTGCGGGCCCTGTTCCCAGCTGCCCGGCGGGCACTGCTGGCAGTCAGAACAAAGGGCCCTCTGTGGGCTGAGGGCTGGCGCCGGGGACGGCAGGCGCAGAGGCTGCCCCCCCACCCCCGGAGCCAGGAGGCCTGAGGCAGTGCTGGGTGGCTGGACACCTGGGCCCTGCCCGCCTGGCTGCAAAGGGCCCTCAGGGGGCCTTCCAGGAAATGGGTGCCCCGCGGCCCAGTTCTCTGGGCCACACAGGCCTCGCCCTCCACGAAGCCCTGGCCCGACGGCCATGTTTTCCTTCAAGCCTCTCCTTCTCTGCTAGGGGACCTGCCACCCTTAGGCACCCATCCCCCAGCAGCCTTGGAGCAGACTCTCCACTTCCCGGAGCCGCAGGCCAGGAGCTCAGCACCTTGGCCAGCTGTGGAGGGGCCTGGACCATGAGGTCACTCCCCCTTTCCTGCTCTCCGGGCGTGGCTCTGCTGGGTCCCTCAGGAGCCGGCTCCTTGGCTCTCCACCCCCCAACCCTGTCACCGCCCAGGCGACTTGCTGGCCTTCAGGGCCCCGGGGCTGGGAGCCACCCGCCCGATGTCCAGAAGGTACCTGGGCAGAGAGCCCCCAGGATCTATAAGGATGCTCTGAAGACCAGTTGAGCCAGCAGGAGAGCTGAGGCCAGAGTGGTGACCAGGGAGGGGACACGCTGCCAAGCAGGTCAGCCAGAGCCTAGTCTTGACGCCATGGCACCCCCCCGCTTGGGACCCTGATCCTGTCCTGAATCTTCTATCCCCACTCCAGACCCTGAGGGTCTTGTGCCTGCTCCGGAACCTGGAACTCCAGGGGACCGCAAACTTAGCACTTGGGAGATGGGTGGGTGGGGGAGGCTAGCCTCGGGCCTCGGGCCCCGGGCCCCAGTGTCCTGGGGACAGCAGCCACACAGAACTGGCCAGAGAACCACCTCCCTTCGCTCCAGGCCGGAGCTCAGACCCCAGGCATGTTGGTTGTGGGGCCCCCTCACCTGGCACCCTTGGACCCCTCAACCTGCCTCTCCCTCCTCTGACGCTGACGTCTGAGCCCTTCCCTCCTCCAGCCCTGCCCTCTCTGAACCATGACAAGGGCACATCTCTTTCCTGGAGCAGAGTCCCCAAGGTCAGCCTGTCCTCGTGCCTCTGCCCCACCATCATCACCCCTCAAAGGATCCCAGCTGGGTGTGGAGGTGGCCGCACTTGGCCTCCTGAGTCACTCCGGAGTGCCCCCTGGCTCTCAGCTGGGGTGGCCCTTGCTGGGCCTCCCGCCCTGGGCAGGCTAGGGCAGGCCCTCCGAGTGTGCTGAGTCGGCAGCCTAGACAAAGCGCCCTTCTCTGCCTTAATATCCTTCCCTAGCAGCGGGGCACGGCCGCCAGGGAGACCACAGTCCATGGCATGGTCAAGGCCAAGGTGCTGGGTCCTGGCTCCAGGTTCCCCACCCCCACCCCCAGCAGGACCTGCACTTAGACCTTTAGGGCCTGTCTCTTACTCACAACCAGCCATTGCTGGTTCTCAGGCTGGACTGAGATCCCAGAAAGGACTGCAATACCCTTCCTCAACTGACTCTCAGTCTGGAAGTGGCAAAATCCCTAAGCACATCCCTCACCCTATGGCTCCTGCTGCAACTGAGTGTGAGCCACATAGTGCTGGGACTCCAAAAAGGGGAGAGCGAGGCATCAAGGAAGGCTTCCTGGAGGAGGAGGTGATGGAGTCAATTCTGAAATTCCAGGGCGAGTCCTCAGGGTGCGGAAACAGGAGAGAGGGACTCAAGCAGGGGGCGCAGCAGGGGCAAAGGCCCTGCGGTGTGGTGTGGGGCAGGTTGTGAGGGGGAAAGGAGGGTTCCGCGGCCACAGACAAGCCTGCCACAGCCTGGAAGGCCGGGTCCGGGAGTCCGTACTTCATTCCAGAGCAGGGCTAAGGGTGGGGGCCAGGGTGATTAGCACTGGCCTGGCACGCGGACCCCTGGCTGTTCCCTGAGACCGGCAGCCCATTTTTGACTCGGCTGTCCCCCGCCTCGGGCCTGCCACCTCCCGGGCTTCTTTCCATCGGGGAGTCAGCGCGGACTCAGGGGTGACTTCAGCCCAAGGACGGCTGCCGGCAGTCCCTGACCCACGGTGGGGAAAAACCAGGGTGAACACTCACAGTCCAAGGTAGACCCAGCCCTGCCTCACCATGTGACCGTGGACAGGGTGTTCCTCACTCAGGACCTCAGTGTCCACATGTCCCCCAGGGTCCTGTGAGGTTTGGCCAAAGCAGGGGACAGAGTGAGGAGCCTCTCAAAGACCTTTGTCCCCAGAACAGGCCACGGGCTCTCAGAGTCAGGCTGGGGGTGAGGAGACAGATGGCTGTGACCTTGAGTGGGTCATCAGAATGGGATCTGTCATGGGTGCAGCGTGGGCTCAGGCAGTAAATCGATGGCCCGGGCCACTGTCCCAGGACCTGTTTGCTCTGCTGGGAGATAAGGGCCAAGAGGGGACAGAAGTCACAGGGATAGTGTGCAGCAGGTAACGCCCGCCCTCGCATGTCACGGGGTGCGAATTCGTCAGGCACACCTCGGCCGGTGTTGAGTTTGGCTAATTAAAGATTTCAAGTCCCAGGAATCCAGGCCACTGTGTGGGCCGGCTGCTGTGGGAAGCACGCCTCTCGGCGTTTCTCCCCAAGGCGCACGGACGCAAGTGGCCCTGCAGCAGCAAGCTGGCTATGGGGGCAGCCCCCTGTCCTTCCCTCGGCCCCGCGGCCACAGCCTCGGTGGAGCCACAGGCCCCTCGGAGCCTGCTGCCAGGGCCCCAGGCTGCCCGCGTGAGGGCAGCCCGGGCCTGAGGAGAAGCCGCTGGCCTGGCCCGAGGGTCCATTGTGGCTGTCGGCGGCGGCTCGGGCATGAGGGTTGCCCCAGCTCCAGCTCCCCCATCCTTACCGCTCCCTCCCCGGCTGAGAAAAGGTGCCCCCTCCCCTGCACCGCCCTGCCCACCTGCACCTCCGGGCTTCAGAGGGAGGACGCCCTCCTAAGACAACCTATCAGTCAGTAGGGAAACTGGGTTCAACGGACACGTCTGAATCACATGTTTTCAAGGCACAGCCACCGGATGGGTGGGGAACGGATTGCTGAGGTCGGGGGTCTGGAAATGGGGTGGGCGGGAGGGCGTTCGGAAGAGGGGAAGGTGCTAAAACACACCCTGCGCCTCCCCCCCACCCCCACCTACGACTCCGGATTCTGAGCCCAGCAGACCCAGTCCTCCCTCCACTCCTCCCTCGTTGTCAACAACACTGGGTAAGTGGCTAGCGTGTGGCCAAAGCCCGGCCGGTGGCAGGCAGGAGGGACACACGCAGGGACAGGCAGGTGGCCCAGAGCACTGCCGTATTAGGCACACCAATCACCTCGTCCCCTAGCTCCCTGGCCGTAGGGCCTGCCTGGGGCCTGGGCTTCTGCGTCTGGGCACCTGGAAGGTGGGGATGGAAGGTGGACTTCCCTGCGACAGGGCACTTTTCTAGACTTCCAACAGATGCTTAGAGTGGGGCCTAGCCCCAGACACCTAGGCCTCCCCTCCCCGCCGGCCCTGGCCCCTGCTTGCTCGGGCTGACCCCAGCCAAGGCTGCAGCTGGAACTTCTTGGCTCAAGACTGGACCAGGGCCAGCAGTATCCCCCTCCCCCTGTTGCCAGCCTGCTGAGAGGGACGTGCAGCCTGAGGCCCAGCTGAGGCAAAGGACAGGACATCACATGCCTGTGGCCCCCCAGGAGCAGGGGAGACCCCGAGCCAGCCAGCCCATCCTCCTCCCTGCTGACCCGGAATCCCCTGGAGGCGGCCAAATATTTGGACAGCCGGACTTCTGGCCCCAAAGAAAGCTGGAACAGGGGCCTGGGGCAGCTCAGGACTCATTGGAGACCCCGATGGGGGGGCTAAAGGCAAGGTCAGCTTGGAGGAGAGGCTCCATCTAACGTCAGGAAGAAGCAGAGAGAGGCAGAGGGAGGGAGGGAGAGACAGGGAGAGAAAACACACATCTCCTATGTGTCCATGCATACTGATCCGGACAGAGAGGCACAGGGAGTCTGCGAAATGCAAAGGGGTAGAGAGGGCCACAAAGAGAGAAAAGTACACAGAGAGACCTGGACAGACACTCGGACAGGGAGAGAGACAGACAACCAGAGAAAGCCAACCAGTCAGAGACAGCCAGATGGAGAAAGGAGCAGATGAGATGGCAAGAGATGGCGCGGGACAGCCAATGAAAGGCAGAGCCCCGGCAGGAGCAGGAGGGGAGAGGAAGCCAGACGCCTAGGTGAGGGGCAGCGGACACAGGGTGCCCTGCAGGGGTGGCAGGCAGAGCCCTGGAGGGCCCCGCAGGAGGCTGCCACAGCACTTCTAGGTTCCCACGAGGGCCGCCTATGTCCCCGGGAGCCAGGGGCAGGGACATCCGGGGGTGGGGGCTCTGAGCCCAGCAGGGCCAGGAGGCCGGGCCCAGCTAGAAAGAACCCCCTAGTCTAGCACCTGTGGCTTGTCTCCCCACACAATGGAAAAGATATACGGAGATGACGGCCGGTGGGAGTGACTCTATCCTCAAGGGCCACGCACGTGTGTAGACGTGCCAGCGGAGAGGCTGTGTACAGGACGTGGCCCGCAGAGCGGAAATTCAAAACCAAGCCACCCCAAGCTGCTAGCCGGAAAGCCCCTCCTGCCCCAGCAGCTGGTCCTTCCCTTTGGTCCCTAGAAGCCCTGCCTGGCCTTCAGGAGCACCCCACCCAACCTGCGTTTGTCTTCTCACCCGGAGTCAAAGGCCAGCCCTCCACCCACCAGACTGAGTGTGCACAGGGCACATAGTAGGTACTCGGTGAGTGCTGGCACACGGATGCGATGGGTTCAAGGCCCTTGGCGAGCCCCCAGCCCATCTCACTGGCCCCACGTGGCACCTGGCCCCCCGCCACGGCTGTACTGGGCATCCTCCCGTGGGACCCCTATTCCACTGCAGCATCGGCTGTGCACACACGTGCCCAACTGCCCCCAAACATGTTTTCCCCCAGACTGAGGGCCTGTTCCCTCACCCAGCCCAGACTCTCAGGGTGCACTCAGTCCAGCTCAGAAGCCGTTCTGACTCCAGCCAGAGACCAAGAGCCCTCTCGCGTGGCCTGCTTCTCTCAGTTTCTCCGTTTCCCCGGGACTCCGTGCCTGCTTGCTAGGGGCCGTGGGCGCCAGGGCAGGGGTAACTGCATCTCATGGTCTGGTCACCTGGAGCCCTGGGCTGGGTGTTTCGGGTTTTTTTCCACCTGCCTTTGGGCTAAAAGAACCAGGACTGAACAAAGGGGTGGCTTGAGAAGCCACTGAGGACACGGGCTCCATGAGTCCAGGCAGAGTGAAGTTCTGAGACATGTACTCCCACCTCCTCCCTGAGATGTAGTCCCCTGCCCCCAATGCCAAAGAGTCAGAGATTCTTATTCCTGCTCCAGGTCATTCCAGTCCTCTTGGATATGCGTCAGACCTGACCTCATCCGCCCTGATTCCAACCCCCTTTGGTGCTTCCTACAGGAAGCCTTCCATGGTTGTGCAGAATAAAATGCAACTGCCCTCAGAACGCCTCCTGTGCTCCAGACGGAGAACCTGTGAGGGATGTGCTTCCTTTCCAGAAGGAAATGAGCCCCCATGTCCCTGCCAGAGAGGGCCCTGAAGAGGAGGTAGTAGGTCCAAAGGCCTCTTCTAGGGGCTGCACAGTGGCCCTAGGCGACCGGGGAAGAAAGGCCGGGACTGGCAGGCTGAAGGAATGACGGGCCTTTGACTTAGGCGCCCTCAGACCTGTCCCAGAGCCTAAACCTGGTCTTAGGGTTCAGGTGACTCTGGGGGAGAGACGGTGATCCCCATAGGCTCCGCCCCCGGCCCCCCTCCCTGGGTGTAAACAAACGCACGCATTTGGTGTGGCCAATGGAAGGGACCAATGAGGCGGGGCGGGCTCCTGCAAACTGAAGTCCAGGTCTTTTCCCTCGGCTGCCGTTATGCAGTGCCTCCTGGCACAGCCACACGCGAGCACCTGGCGGCGGGGAGCGCGCATGGAACCGCGCCCTCAGCCTCCGGAGCCACACGTGCCCGGTACCCACCGTGCCCGCTGGCCCGGCTGCAAATAGCACGGGCTCTAGGACCAACATGTGCCCCGCGGCCCCTCAGGCAGCCTGGCCCGGTCTGCCCTCAAACTTCTGCCCGATGCAGCCGGGATAAATATACCCGGACTCCTCGCACGCCAACCCGGCCGACTTGCCTGCCTGGTGCCCGTCGGAGCGGCGCTCCAGGGCCTGCTCCCGGGCCCTCTTAGGCTCCCCTCCGGGGCCCTCTCCAGCCCGTCCCCGCAGGCTGAGGCTCAGGAAGCCCATCGGGTGCCACTGACCTCCCTCCGTCCCACCCGGCCCTGCCAAAAGGCCCCGGGGCGACAGGGTGCCTCTCCCAGGACACCTGCTCGAGCTCGGAGCTGAGTCTGACTGGCGGGTCCCTGGACCTGCGTCCAGAGCGCCCGGGCTCCGGTTCTCGGAGGCCGGGGCAGGCCAGGGAGCTACCCAGGGCCGGGCTGCGGACGAGAGGGTGGACGGAGGGCTGGGCCTGCCCGGTGCCCCTGGGCGGGGGTCGGTGCCCCTAGCGGTACCTGGTCTCACGGGTGGGGACGCGCGGTGCTCAGCTCTGGCTGGCGCTGACCTCTCTGCTCCCGGCCGAGCGCAGCGCCGGGGGATGAAGGGCGCCCGGCCCCGCCCCCGGCCCGCCCCCCGCCCTCCAGTCCCCCGCGGCCGGCGGGAGGAGGGGCTGGTCTGGGGCGAGGCGGGGGCCCGGCCCATGGAGCAAAGGGGCAGCCGGGGCGCAAAGCAGCCCCTGGACAGAGAGCGGCTGCCCCGAGAGGGCTCCGCCGAGTCCTATGGGGGGAGTGCTTCAGTCCCAAGCAGACGTCCCCCGTAACCCCTGAAATACTCTGCTGCCCTCGCCCCTCAGGCCAGAACGGCGCTTCAGCCAAGCCGAGTGGGACCGGGGCGAAGCTTAACCTCAGTGAAGGGTGCTTGAGTCGGGGACTCTCAGACATCACTCAGGCTCCAGAACGTCTTTCTGCCTGTCTCGCCCTTCCCAGGCAGAGGTGGGGGAGGGCGAGGAGGGGGCCCCTGCGCCAACTCTGCCTTCACCCCAGACATTCAGAAGTGACCGAGGCTGGGACAGATGGGGCAGGGGCTGGGAGGTCAGGAGGGAGCCAAGCGTGGCTTGCACTGAGGCTTGCCGGGCTTCTGCCCAGCCAGGCTCCCCATTTCTTTATTTCCAAGGAGTAGGGGACAGCTGTCAGTCTGTCCACGGTAAGCAGGGCCTGCCTGAGACTTGGTGCCTTGCTTGGGGCAAGGGGTTTTGGGGTGGCCCTCTTCTCCACTGGGGGCTCCCATGCCAGCCCTGCCTGCTTTCCCACCCATGACTTTGATGCCCAGAAGTGGGTGGTGGGTGTTAAGGCCCCCAGGCCCAGCCAGCAGGGAGCTGGGGGAGGCCTTGAACTTGGGGGCGAGCCAGGCTGGGGGGGCAGATTCCCAGAACATCTGTGTCCTTGCTTCTCGGCCACTGGCTCTGATCCGCTTAATCCCGTGGCCTCTGCTGTTCCTGGCCAAGCTGGGTGCCCCCCTCCCCGAGGCTGGGGGAATGCCCCCGGAGGACAAGCCTCACCCCTCCTTACCCCCCACGGCCCTGGGCTAGGAGTCAGGACTCTGGGACTCTCTTCCTACGGACACATGACATCACCGCAGTCAAGCTTTTGGTACCTGAGTTTGTGTCACAGGAAATGGCTCTGTGCTGTCCCATGGCCCAAGGGGTATAGGTGAGGGGGGAGCTGTGAGTCAAGGGCAGGGGGCTTCGCTGGGAGTGCCAGAGGCCTGGAAGAACTAAAGACAAAGGCACTAGGATGGTCCACTCCCTGAAAACCTCAAACCGCCCAAGCTCTCCCCGTGCCGATGGCTGGAAAATGGAAGGGACTGGCTTTCCCTCCTGACCTGGGGCTGGTGCAATCCCCAGATCAGAGCTTCCCTTGGTCATGAGGGACCACAAGACTCTCAAAGGGGCTTGGGGCCTGCCCATGGTGGGGGGGGCGGCGGTCAGATCGTAGAGGCGCTGGCCAGGGTCTCAGGCCCACCCCTCCCACCTATAGGCACCCTGGGTGCTCACAGAAGCCATTTTGCAAAGGGCTGGGCGATTCCATTGGCACTTCATGAGGGGTCAGGCCTGGCTTCAAGGTCACACAGTATGTGGGTGTTGAGGTCCTCAGTCCAGAATGGCTGGGCTGGGCTGCTGTGGGAGGCCTGGTGGCGGCACGATGTGGGGTCCGTGGGCCAGGCCAGTTGTGGCCAGGCTGGGGGAGGGACTGCCTGTTTGTTGATGCTAGGCCTGGGCCCTGGCCAGGGCAAACACAGCTCCGAGGCCTTTCCCGCCACCTGCCGAATCTCCCAGCCCAGGCTGTGGTGGCTGGGCAGCTGGCAGCCAGGTTGGGGCTTGAGAGCTGCCGGGCTCCTCCTCCCAGAGGCGAGAGGGGACGTCCACCCTTGCGGCCGCGTGGAGGGCAGCCACCTGGAGTGGAGGCGGGCGGGAAGCTCTACGGCTTTATCTCAGCCTGCAACCCAGCCCCCTCCTTTACTCCCCCATCCCCAGAAACTGAGGCACAGGCCCAAGAGACTGCCAGGCACGTGGGGCAGAACTCAGGGTCCCAGGACCACTCAGACCCTCCTTCCGGGGTCCTGGGAGCCCCTTGCTCTCCTCCTCTCTCTTCAGTCCTGTCTTCTTGGCCTCCAGCTAGACGGCCTCCTCTTGCCGCGCCGCTGCCTCCCCTGGCGCGGCCTCCACACAGGGCTCCCAGACCCTGCTGCCAGTGAAGCCCCATCTTCACCCCCCACCCAGCCCTCCCCACAGCGCAGCGTCGGGATTCGCTGACTCCTCCGACACCCAGCAGACACTTGTCTGGCACCCAGCTTGCCTCCCCAACGTTCCCCCAACCTGCTCCTCTACCCAGGGGGCCTCTCCACCTTCCTCACCACTCGGCAGGTCTCTCAGTGTCGTGCCTTCATTTCCCTACGCCTTTGCCCTCCTAGTTCTCACCCTGTCCCACCTCCTGAGCCAACTCCTACTTGTCCTTCAACCCTCAAGTGGGAGATCACCTCTGAGAATCCTGCCTGAGCCGCCTGGGAGAGCCAGCTCCTCCTATACTTCCTGTGGCTGTTCTCGCCCCCACCCCCACCCCTCGGCCACCCCACCGCAGCGTCTCTAAGTGCTCCCTACGGGCCAGCTAGACAGGAAAGCTCCTGCCAGGCTGGAGGGCAAGCCAGATGGAGAAGCAACCTGTGGACTTGAGCGGGAGAGAGACACCCGCCCAGGCGGGGAGGAGCAAGGGTGCTGGGGGGAGGAAAGAGCTCGGCACAGGGACACGTGCGCGTGAGTGTGGGATGAGCACCGACAGGTGCGGGGCTGCGTGCAGGGGCAGGACGCCTGGCCTGGCGTCAACGTTGGGGGCTTTCTAGGCCTCACAGAATGGTGGCTCTCCCCTCCCAGCCCCCGGGGTTGAGGACCCGCGTCTCCAGCTCCTGGCTACACTCTGCCTCTGCTCGGTGTCTGGGACATTCCTCCTTGCGTGTCAGGGGGGCTTCGTTGGCACAGTACCTGGAAGGCTAGGGGAGACCCTCCTCGTCAGCCTTTCCCCCGAGTCCCCAGAGCTGGTGACCTCTTGGCTGAGGCCTGTCCCCACAGTCTTGGCGTGCCCTCCCTCTCTCCCCTGAGATCTGGCCCCCTGCGTCTCTGGCCACTGAAGCGGCTTAATGAGCCCAGGTCACGTGGGCCAAGCTACTGCCTGAAGGGCGGGCCCGAGCCCCCGGTGGCCGCCCAATCGGGCCCTGACGTCAGTGGCATTAACTGTCTGCCAGGATCGTCTAATCTCTGGTCAGTGGCTGGGCCAGGTTAGTCCCGCCAGAGCCAGAGCTGAAGGCCATGAGGGCCCCCAGGGGCACCTTGAAGTTGCAGGTCAGGCGGGACGGTGGTGGCCATCAGCGCTTACAGTAAATGTCTCCTACCTCTGGTCCTGGGGTGTGGCCACGGTGCTAACCCTGGGCCGGCTCTCTCCGATCCTCTGCTGTGCACTGTAAACCAGGCGCTGGGCACCAACCCTGCTCCGCAGGGTGTAATTACCCTGGTGTGGTGAGTGGGGCTGAGGAGGCTTGCCGGCCACGGACAGGGAAGCCGGTGTCCGGGTGTCGTCCCCAGCCCCTGGCATCCAGGACTCAGGCTAGAACCATGCATGGGAGGGGACTCTCTGGAGGGTGGCGTCCAGCCCCTGCCCGGTGTTCGGGCTTCTCTCTGCTCCTTGCCCAGGAAGGCCAGGGAGCTCATTATCTTCCTTCCATGGCAAGGTGGCTATAGGGAAGACCCCATTAGCCCACCGCTCCTGGCAGCTTCCTCCCTGTCTAACCCACAAGCTCCTCAAAGCTTCCTGTCTTCCTTCTTGCCTCCCTGGCCCCCCCCCACCTTAAATCCCGCCCTGGCTCTCTGCTGCCGAGCTCGCTGCAGCGCACTGCTCAGACGGAGCCTCCTTAGTTACAGAGCGTCCTTAGCTGCGGTGAGCAGCCGAGGCTCAGCCAGGCCCCACCACCCAGTGGGGGTCCTACACCACTGGCCCGGGCCCCATCCTCCCTCCTGGCAGCACCAGTGTGGCTGCCCACATGTATCCAGAGCCGCCTAACCCAGCCAGTGTCCCCCTACCCCCTGCTCAGGTGTGGGAACCCTCCCCCTCCCCTCTCTGCCCCGCCATTCCCACAGGCTCCCAGCTCCACCCTCCCGCGGACATTGAGGAGGCTGCCCGCGTGCTGCCTTCTGCCCGGCTCCCAGCACCCACCTGCTGCCCGGACACCTCCCCCAGCGGCCACAGGTCTGGGAAGCCCAGCCTCCCCAGGGTTCCTCTGTAGTCCCAGCCTGGTGGGGCCATCACATGCACTTGTCAACAGATAGGTCCAGGTGCCGTCGCTGGGCCCGACTCCTTACAGACCCTGGCCCCGTGGGCAAGGAGGACATGCCGTCCCCACGGATCCCGCGCCCACGCACACCGGTCCCCAGGAAACATGTGTGCCCCGCTGTACGTTTTGATGAAAAGTTTTCATGCTTATTTTTCCCAGAAGCAGATTTGGAAAATATCACTGATGATCTCATTTCCATTAAAGTCAGGAAAATAAAATTATGCATTGTTTTAGGTATAAGTAAAATATTGAAACGTAAAAGTAATGTTTTGAGAGTTAATGTACCTACTGTAAATTATTTCAAAGTTCTTTCAACTGAAGTTATGTGAAAAAATTAACCATTAAAATACATAAAACTGTATATAGTGGTGGACATTTTTCCTTTTTTCTTCAGGCTCCCATGTGGCACCAATAGAGCTTCAAAGGGCTCTTTTGGATTTTGTTTTTATTTAGAATTTTGATATTTTGTGCATCATGGATTTTTTTTTTTTGCAGGATTTCGATTTTTAAAAGTATTGATTAATATATTATTTGATCACAGAAATTTTTGGCCCAATCTTAAATTTTGCACTGAAGGTGATGCCTCGTTTGCTGCACTCGGCCCGATTCCAGCCGGGCAATTGCATCCTTGCTTCACTGTCTCGTGGAGGAAGCCCAGGCCTCCAGGCTGGCATTTGGCACTTCCCACTGCCTCCCTGCCTGACCCCCTTCCCTGCTCCTGCTCTACTGAACTCCTGGGGCCCCCAAGCCTCCGTTCCTGGGGCTTATACACCCTACTGCACTAGCCAGAGTGAGCGTCCATCTCAAAGCTCCCCCTTGCCCTGGCTGGTGTGGCTTGGTGGGTTAAGCATTGGCCTGCAAACCCAAAGGGCGTTGGTTCGCTTCCCGGACAGGACACACGCCTGCGTTGTGGGCCAGGTCCTGGGCTGGGAGCTTGCGAGAGGCAACCTGTTCATGTTTCCCTCACACATCAATATCTCTTTCTCCCTCCTCTCTCTCTAATATTAAAGTCTGAAAAAAATTTAAAAAACAAACACACCTCCCTCTTGATCCAAGACCATTCCTGCGAACATTTCCCATGGCTCCTCTGCCCCTTGATGGGGGTCAAGAGGTACAAGCCTGTCCTGTGCTCTCAAGAGTGCCCCCCACGGTGTCAGGCCAGATGCTTCAACCTGGACGGAACTGTCCCCACTCACATCCAGCCCAGCACTGGGCACTTCATAGATGCTCATGACTCTTGATAATCAACCCTCTCGCCCTCCCCTCAAGAAAGGACAGCTGGGCAGGACGCAAGGTTTATTGCTGAGTCTGCGCTTCTAGCTGAGGGGAGTGCGAATCGCGCCCTGGCTGCGCTAGGCGAAAGCTCCTGTCCTCGCCTGCAGTGCGGTCGCGTCCACAGACATCAGCAAGGACTGGGTGATTGATGAGCAGGAGGGAATGGGGATGAGGGAACGTGAGCCTTTGTCCCTCGGTTATTCCTGCCAGGGAGTGGGCCCTGGGTGGAAAGGGCAAGAGAAGCTGCTGGCAGGGACGAGGGTCACCTGGGTTTGCTCGTGACCCTACCTGAGGTAGACCCCTCGGGGCCTCCATCCTGTCCCAAATTCTCTGCCTGGGGCTGATCAATGGGAGCCGGACTCTGCCCCCAGCCTCCCCTCAGGACAGTTCAACCATTGGCCATAGCTGGTGTCAACAGTACCCTCCCTCAACAGACCATCCCCTTGGCCGACTGGCCTGAAGTACTCCGGGTGGGTGGGTGAGGTAGGACAAGGATCTGGTGTCCAAGGACGGAGGGGGCAGAGCCTGTGGGGGCAGGGTGGGGGCTGCCCTGAGACGGGTGCGTGGGGAAGGGTCCAGCCTGCGTCTCCCTGGCTCGCAGGGGCTCCCAGGGCCGCCCTCACTCCTGGTTCACCTATGCAGGAGCTGCGCTGGCCAGAGCTGGGTTAGACTTTGGACGCCCGAAGGTGCTGGGACAGACGGTTACTGGCCACTGGGTAGACAGGTGTTGGACTTGTCACATGGAGGTGGTAAGGCTGGAACGGGCTGATGGTGAGCGGCAGGCCTGCCTGGAGGCGGGATCCCCGCTTGCCCCCTGCCCTTCCTGAAACCCTGGGAGGGAGGGTTGTTTGCTGAGCCCAGACCCACCGGGTGAGTCACAGGCCCCCTGGGGTGGGAGGGCTGCTAGAGATTGGTCAGCCTGGCACTGCTGAGTCACTGTGTGCTCTGGCTGCCCCAAGTCCTGCCAGCTCCTAGCTGGGGCTGGCTCTGGTGGGTCCTGGAGGCCGGTGCTGCCAGGCCGTGAAGGGCAGCGTGGGGGCTGCGGGCACCTGGGCCGGGGAGGCCTGGGAGCTGCAGGGGAGGCTCAGGGACTCCAAGCTAGTGGGGCTCAGGGTTTGGTTCGGTGGCTGGTGGGGCCCTGGAGTCCTGGGGGGCTGATTGGGGGTTGACTGGGTCCTGTTGGCTGAAGCTACAAGGTGGGTAGGCTACAGGGTCTCGGGACACGCATGGGTTCAGGAACCTGGGGAAAGAAGAAGGAACCTTGTCAGCACCCCCAGCCCCAAAATAATTGGGCTTAGGCTCAGAGAGACGGTGGAGGTGGATTTTGAAGCAGGGATACCTGAGTGGTTGGGGCCTGGTCCAAAGAGATTAAGCGCAAGGGGGACTTGTGAGCCAGGGGAGGGGCCTGCGGCCGTGGGGTGGAGCCAGGGCGGGGCCTGGACGCGGAGGGTTCTGGGAGTTGGGGGTCAGGCCGTGGAGTGGGTGGCCTGTGGCGAAATGGGCTGGGGCTAGGGTCTTCAGACCAAGGGGCACGACAGGGAGGCCTCTGGGCTGGGAGGCGCCCACCTCAAAAGAGGCCGCAGTCTTTGAGGTTCTCCTTGATGATGATGTCTGTGACAGCGTCAAAGACAAATTTGACGTTCTGTGTGTCGGTGGCGCACGTCATGTGGGAATAGATCTCCTTCACGTCGCGACGCATGTTGAGCTCGAGAAACTGCACCTTGATGTAGTTGCCGGCGTCCTCGTACGTGTTGGGCCCTGCGGGGACGCGGCTCTCACTCCTTGCCGCGTCCTTCCGGCCCAGGGGGCGGGGGCGGGGTGGGGTGGGGCGTCGCCTGGCGCCGGCTGCCGGGGGGAGGCGTGGGGGGCTTACCATCGTAGTCGGGGAAGCAGATGCTAAGATGTGCCTTTTTTATCTTCTCAGAGAAGACGTCCTTCTTGTTGAGGAAGAGCACGATGGACGTGGTGGCGAAGTAGCGGTGGTTGCAGATGCTGTTGAACAGGTGCAGGCTCTCGTGCATGCGGTTCTAGGAGCGCAGAAGCCGTCGGGCACGGGGACGCGCGCCGCGGCCCGCTCCCTCGGTGCCTGGGGGCTGCGGGCCAGCCTCCCCTGGACCCCTCTCGGCGGGGCTGCTGGCCGACCTCCGTCCTCCTCCAACGGCTCTGGAACGACTGCCCCCCGCCGGGCGCTCCCCACCCGCCCGCCTGCAGCTTGTCTCCCGCGTTCCGTCGCAGGCCCTGCTCGGCGCTCACCACTTCGTCGTCCTCCACCAGCACCATGTCGTAGGCGCTCAGCGCCGCGATGAAGATGATGCAGGTCACCCCCTCGAAGCAGTGGATCCACTTCTTGCGCTCCGAGCGCTGCCCGCCCACGTCGAACATCCTGCGGGGCCCGTGGGGCCTGAACCCGCGTGCCCAGCCCCCGGGCCGCGCCCGCAAGCCTCCGCTCCCCTCCCAAAGCTGTCTGGGGTGCCCTCCGACGGGACGGGCATCCGGGGGCCGGGACTTTATGAGGGTGGGCGGGGTATCTGGGGAGGGGCAGGGTCTCCCACAGGGACGGAGCCGCGGGGCCCCAGAGCGCGGGCGCAGGGTCGTACCGGAAGTTGAGGTCCTTGAAGGAGAATTGCGTCTCGATGATGCCGGTGGTCTTGACGCGCGAACGCAGCACGTCCTGCTCAGTGGGCACGTAGCCTGGCGTTACCAGGCGCTCCAGGTCCGAGAGGTAGCTGCGAGAGAGCGCGGGGCGTGGGTGGGTGGGGTGCAGGCGCGCGTCCGGCCCGCCCGCGCCCCGCGCCCCGCTGGCGCGCTCACTAGCCCGCGGAGTCGTTGAGCTGGTACTCTGAGGCGCGCTCGAAACAGGCCTGGATACCCGAGTCCTTCCACAACCGCTGGATGATGTCCGACATCTCCTTGGGCATCGTGCCCTCCTCGATGGTGTCGGCCATGTGCATCAGCTTCCGTGCATCGTCCTGGGAAAGGGTGGGAGTGGTTGGTGGTGGCCCCGGACTTGGGCCAGGCCCCGCGCCTCGAATCCTCAGAGGCCCCATACAGCCCGCCTCCTGGCGCACCTGGCGCGCAGAGTCCCCGTACTGGATGTTGAGCGTGGTCATGGCGCGCACAATGGCCAGGATGGACTGCAGCGTGTTGCCGTAGATGATGGCGATGAACTCGAGGCACTCTTCTAGCGAGTACCCGTCCTGGTGGATAATCCTGCGGCCCGGCAAACCGGGGTCAGCGCCCTTGGTCGGGTGGGGAGGGACTGGCCATGTGCGCACGCCCCTCCTCCCCACCCCGGCGGCCTGGGGACGGGAGCTTGCACTCACTTCATCTGCTTGACAATGGTGCTCTTCCCAGACTCACCGGCACCTGGAAGGGAAGCCCGCCTCAGAGCTGGGCTGAGCGCACCCCCTCCTGCTTCCCATTCCCTGCTTACAAGGCCCCGAAAAAATGGCTAGGCCGGCCCAGGGCACCAGCCTAGCCCTCAGTTCCACCCCTTTTCCTCTCATTCCCCCAAAGGAAGATCCTGACACCCTAGCAGAAAAACATTTATAAATGTCAGGAGTGACAGAAGAAGGCTGAAGAGGGGCATCAACGACCTCAGCTGTGCTGGGGAACCTGCAAGATCCTGGTTTACTCTGTTTATTAGCCTGAGACCAAAATAAAGAAAACCTGGAGCGCCACCTTGTGAAAGTATATGAGATTGCATGCCCGGAAATATTTGAGCCGGGTCAACCCAGCTTTTCACCTGGGGTGGCGTGTGTCTCCCTGAGGCTCAGAGGGCATTAGCACCTTGGATCGGGGAGAGATGCAGCCCGTGGCCCCTCTAAGCCTGCCCTTGCAAGGGTGTGGCACAGTTAATGGGATTTCTGGCTTAGGCTTCCTGTCTTCGCCGGCACTGACTGGACCCTGGAGAGCCCCCCCCCCGGGGGGGGGGCCTGCACCCCTCTCAGAGCAGCTCCTTCTTCCCCCGAGGGGTGGCGGTGGCCTCAAGCAGCTGGATCAGAGCCCCATGTCCCTTACTACCGCGGGACCATGGGCACACTGTATCTCGTCCCCTCTGTGCCTGAGTCCCCCTCCCCCGGGAGCTGCTTTGCAGTTGTGCCCACAGCGAGGCTCTGGGAACTGGCCGTGCGGCTCTGGGTCATCCTAGGGGCTGCCCACTCTCAGGAGGACTGTGACCTCCTCCCTAAAGGAGCAGCCCTAACATGGGGCCTCCCAGGAGGCCCTGGTCTCTGAGCCCTGCCCAGCCAGGGCAAAGGTGTGCCCCCCCCCACCCCCCGCCGCCCCACCTCTGCAAGAGTGGCTGGGACACACTTCTCGGGAGGGGAGGTTGCCAGAGGCGGGCTCTCTGGGGAGGGGTTGCACGTCTGCGGCATACCCGGCCCCGGGGAGCCAGGGTACTGTCGGTCAGGCCTGGCCTTGCCCGGCCAGGGCTCCCACTCAGTTCCCTGCCCTGTCGCAGGCTCACTGTGCTTCCCAAGCCATCCCTGCTTCACAGAAGGGCCACCTGCCTGCCCCCACGCCTCTGACTTTGTGATGGTGGCCCCACCTGGGCCCACACCCCTACCCAAAAGCAGCAGTTTCACAGTGCGGGCATCCTTCTCAGCATCTTCTTTCAGCTTCTTTTCCAGCTCCCTCGAGTGCTTTTCCTCCGCGCTGGCCCCAGCCCCCATGGCCCCGGCAGCCACTGAAGGAACAGGGTCAGCTGGCTCTTCTGAATGGAGGGATCTCCAGAGCTGGGCTCAGGCTAGCCTCTGGCCTCCCCAGACGCTCTTCTGGCCCCAGGACTGGCAGTCAGTTGGCTCTCCAGACCTGTGCAGGCCCTGGTGGGGCTGCTTAGTGGGATTCGGGCACTGGGGGTACCCAAGAGCCAATCAGAGACAAGGGCAGGTGAATCCAGCTCAGCCCCCAGCCCTTCTAATCGGGCTGGCGTGGCCCCAATCCCTCAACTGCTGACTCTGCACCCGCTGTCCCACCTCTGCCAGCCCTCCAGGGGAGGCCCTGGGCAGCCCCGCCCCTGCCCTGGAGGAGGGAGACATGCCAGTAGGGTTCTGGCTCAGAAAGGGCAGGGAAAGGCCTTGAGCCAACGGGGTGAGGGCCATGGGGGTGTGCTGGCAGCAGGGAGTAGAGGGAGAAGGAGGCACCAAGCATCTGCCCCGGGCGCAGCGCCGGCTGGTCGCAGCTCCTTATCTTGTGAGCTCACGCTGGTCTGGGGGAGGGCACCCATGTCATCAGCCCCATTGTCCTGATGAAGAAATGAAGGCTCAGAGAGTCACACTCTGAGAAGGGCCGGGCAACTCTTGACCTGGGTCCCATGCTCTTCAGGGAGCCCAGGGGCCAAGGTGGGCGTCACAGGTGTGACACGCGGAGGGGTGCCAGTGGGCCTGGGCGCGTGCATGTCTGCTGAGGTGCCTGAGGGGATGTGTCTTTTACTGGCACCGCGTAAGTCCACGGCATGATGCATTTTTGCCCATCTATACTTGTGTGTACACATGTGCCTGTGCTTTGGTGAGTGCGTGTGTGTGCCATGGACACCTGTTTGTGTACAAGTTGGTGCACGTATGTGCCTTTGTATACTTCTTTGAGTGTACATGTGCTTGTACACGGGTATGCTTGTGTGGATTAACATTTGTGCGTAGGTGTGCATGAATGTATATATGCATGTGCATGCATGTTAGTGTGTACTTGCCTGTGTACCTGTGCATGGATGCTTATGCATGTGTATACCTGTATGTGTGCACACTTTCCTGTACCTCTTTTTAAAAAAGATTTTATTTATTTATTTTAAATTTTAGCCCTGGCTGGTGTGGCTCAGTGGATTGAGTGCTGGCCTGTGAACTAAGGAGGCGCTGATTTGATTCCCAGTCAGGGCACATGCCTGGGTTGCAGGCCAGGTCCCCAGCAGGGGGCGTGTGAGAGGCAACTACGCATTAATGTTTCTCTCCCTCTCTTCCTTTCTCTAAAAATAAATAAAATCTTTATTTAAAAAAAGTTGTTAAAAAATAAAATTTTATTTATCTTTAGAGAGAGAGGAGGGAAGGAGAGAAGGAAACATCAACGGGTTGCCTCTTGCAAGTCCCCAGCTGGGGACCTGGCCCACAACCCCGTCATGTGCCCTGATAGGAATTGAACCAGTGATCCTTCAGTTGGTAGGCTGATGCTAAATCCACTGAGCCACACCAGCCAGGGCTATTTATTTACTTTTGGAGAGAGGGGAAGGGAAGAAGATAGAGAGGGAGAGAAACATCAATGTACGAGAGATATATCAATTGGCTGCCTCTGGCACTCCCTCAGCTGGGAACCTGCCCCACAACCCAGGCATGTGCCCTGTCAGGGAATCGAACCAGTGAGCTTTTGGTTGGCAGGCCGCCGCGCCTCTTTTTGTACATGTATACTTGAATGCAACAAAGTCTCCGACCTGCAGAGGTGGCCAGGAGCTTCCAGGGGATGTTTTGCAGGCCTGTCAGCTGGGGACACTGAGCACCAGAGCAGGTGTGGCCCTCAGAGGGGAATTCAGGGGTGTAGCCTGTCTGCTCTGCTCCTCTCTGTGCCCCGGGGCGCTCTGGGACATGCTGAGGGGTACCTCTGAGGCAGCCACCTCTGGGGTCTGTGTCCGTGTGTGGGTTCAGATGGGACAAGGCATGCTGCTGGGACGATGTGGCTCAAGGGAGCCTGGAGTGTCCGTCTCGGGCTCTGGCGATTTGCCACCAGCCATCAGGAGACCCAAACGCGGAGCTCCCGAGGCTCCCTAGGCTCCCTCCGGGGGCCCGAGCCTCCTGCTCCCTCCTAAAAACCTGGCAGCCTTTTAAGACTGACTGCTGCAACCCAAGAGACCACGAGGGGGTGCCAGGGCCCCAGCCGCTGAGCATCGAAGACTGTCCCCAGCACGTGGGGTAGACACTGACTCCTACCTCAGCTTTAACATCTACCCTGTTGGGGGAAGGGGGATCCGTCCAGGAGCAAAAGATCCTTTGTGCCATTTTCAGCCTCAGGTTCCATCCTCCACTCCCCACATTGTAAGGGGGGCCCGGGGGTCTCTGCAGCCCTTTATACACTGCCCAGGAGTTTGGGGAGGTACTGGAGCCCAGGTTTTGTTAAAAGAACAAAAACCTGGCTTTTGCATATCGAGTTTATTTAAAGCAGGGCTAATCCACCGCCTCCTAGTCCCCACCTGGTTCCCCTTGCCACCAGGTATGGCGCTAAGTCCTGCCAGATCCGTGGGCCTCCCCAGCTCTTAGCTACATTTGGCCCAGGGCACTCAGCCCCACCTCCCCACTTCCTCCTCTCCAGCAGCTCCCCACCTATCCGGTCTCCCCACGTCTGCCCATTAGCTGCTTGGGGCCCTCAGCTGAGAGACACCGGAGGCAGGCAGGAAGGACAGGGACTCAGTTCCTTGGGGGGCAAGGGGAAGTGGGACTGTGAGGGCTGTGGCTTTGTCTTGCCAATTCTAAGTCCCTAGCGCCAGCGCAAGTCTGGACACAAAGCCAGGTGAGGGGAGTGTTGAGCGAGCAATCAAACAATTGACCAAGTGAATGGAAGCTGGCCAGCGAAAGGGAGTGCGTGGGAGCTGGTGGCCAGGCCACAAGGGGTGCGGGTGGGGGGCAGGAGGTACAGAACCCGGGCATGGCCGCACCCCCTTCCTTCTTCCCTTGCCAAGGAGAAAAGCCAAAGTCCAGTCCCAGAGCCAGTGTTTATTAACAAGATGGAACCCAAGGGCAGCGGCGGCCTGGGCAGCAGAGGGCCTCCAGGGGCCCCATCCCCCTACCCATCTGCCCCCCTGAGCTATTTACACCCATCACCTGCAGTGGTGGGTAGAAGGGAGCCCTGGGGAGCCCCCGCAGGGCCGCGCCTCTGCCACGGCCCGTGCCCTCAGCCCTGCCGGCGCCCGCCCCTCCGCTGTCCTCCCAGCCCGGGAGTCAGAGCGTCAGAGCTGGGAGGAGGCCCAGTGGCCAGGCAGCAGGGGAGGAGGGGCTGGAGGGGCTGGAGGGGCAGGCCCACCCATGCAGGGCTCCTCTTCTCTAGTCCCCAATAAATAGAGAATAAATACCTGGGAAGGGGCTGGCCTCCACCCAGCGCCCCCTCCCAGGCGGCCGGCATCCTGTGCGGCCCCCTCTTCCCTCCCTCTCTGAGTGCGTCTGAGCCCCCCGCCCACCCCTGGTCTCCAAAGCAGTCCTCACATCCAGGCCGGTGCAGGCAACAGCACACACTGGCCAAGGCGGACAGGCCGTGCCTGTCCAGGCAGAGCTGGCTCCCTCCCTGCGTCCTGTGGGTCCCAGCAGCGGCTGTCGAGCAGGTGGACGAACTCCCAGCGGAGTCTGGGGCCTGTGCAGTCCTGGCCGGGCCCCACCCGCTGATTGGGCCTGAGAAGGTGGCCTCCGTTGTCTGCGGTCTCTGACCAGCACGGGTCTGTTCTGGGCGATGCTGCCGCGGAGGCAGGCCACATACAACCCACCAATAAATACTGTCTGTGCAGGGGCAGGGTGTGTATAGAATATAGATATTTTTATATATATATATATCTATATATCTTTTATATTAAAAGGGACGAGGGCTAGGCTGGCCCCATAGCAGGGCTCAGGCAGCTGGCCTCATGTGTCCGGCGCGTGGTGGCGGCGGTTCCGGGGCTTTTTCTGGTCCTGGGGTTCAGGGGGCTTGGCCGCCCCAGGAGCCTCCCTGGGGCTGGGGGGCACGTGGCGCCAGTAGCCCTGGCAGTACTGGTGGATGAGGCCCACTTCCGGCTGGGCCAGCAGCTGGGCCAGCTCTTGGTACGAAGGCGTGGAGGGGCCAGCCCCTGCGGGCGGCGGGGCGCTCACAGCCGGAGGTGGGAAGAGGGCGGCGTGGACGGCATCCCGGCCCAGGACGTGCAGCTGTACCCGCGCGACGACGTGTTTGAAGTTGTTCTCGGTGGCCGTGCAGGAGTACAGGCCGCGGTCGCCGAGCTGCAGGGCGCGCAGCAGCAGGCCCTGCTCGGTGCGCAGGAGGCGGTCCTCCGCCCGGATCTGCAGGGGAAGGGGTGGGGGCGGTCAGGCGCTGTGCGGCCCCAGCCAGCTCCCAGGTCGGCCCGCCATGTTGGCCGCCCCGTGGAGGGGCACCCTTGCGGAGTTTCAATATACCAAGAAAACCCCACATGAGGATATCACATAACATCTGAAGGAGGCATCTGCACAGTTTCCATGCTTTTGGGGTTGGGGGGGCGGGGACTGTTACGGAATCCTGGACAAGGAGGGAGTTTTGGAGCACACAGAGAATTTCTATTTAATGAGAACACGCAGCTGGGGCTCCCTCAGGAAATGTCCATGTTAAGGAGGGAGGCCAGGAAGGGGCTCCCATAAAATGAAGGCCACCCTACAGAGTCCCCTGTACTGGAGCCCGCCCCCTACAGAGAGGCACGCTTGCCATGGCGTGCACATGGAGCTGTCATGTACAGAGGCATGCCCACACGTGGCTCCGTGTGATATGGAAGCCCCAGAGTTCCCTCCTAACTAGGTGACTCCCGGAGCTCAGGTTGATTCCTGCTGTTTCACCCACGCGGACTTTCTACTGTACGGAGGGCTCCCGCACCCACGGGAGGGCTCTGGGGCACAGGAAATCACCTCCCGGCGCCGGTCGCTGGGATCTCGCTGGAACAGCCACTTAATGGTGGCCTGGGGCGAGCGGGGCTGGCACTCCAGGA